TCCAAGACGGAAGGCCGCAGATCAGATGATACGATTATAAAATCGATCATCGACCTGTAGCCCCGGGCATGTTCGTGCCATGTCCACTTATGGACACCCTTATGTTCGAACATGGTGTTCATTATGGACAAACCATGCATTGCACAGAAGTCCAATAACAGAACACCACTCGGGTTCAGATCAGGGAGGCCGTTCCAACTAGTTGAATTAGACAAATCACTAACAGCTAAGGAACTTCGTGTCGCACTCAATAAAATGCCAAATGATAAAGCTGCAGGACTCGATGCCCTACAGACACTTAGAGAATACAATCTCGCCACTATTTCTCAGAATGGTATTTGACATCAAACACAATTCCAAAACATGAACATATAGCTGTCATCACAGTACAAATAAAACTCCACACAGACCCAACCCTTTGCTACAGTTACCGTCCTATATCACTCATCAGCAGTTCTCAAAATTATTAGTAAAGCTCTTGCCACCCTACTTGAAACAGTAAACCCATCATTAATACATCCAGATCAAACTGAATTCATCAAAGGTAGACATTCTTCAAATAATATGTGCAGATTCTATCTCAAAACAAACTGGAAACGATAAATTTATCCCTAGATGCAGAAAAGGCATTCATTTATATGTTGCAGTGCCTAGGATGGCGAATCATCCCACATTGTTTTGGATAACGAAGAGTACCCGACTTTCTGCTTGTCTACTGGTCCCTTCCAGGCAATTCAGGAAAGTGCATACGAACAGAAGACAAGTGGCTGTCCCCTGTGGACTTTGTGAAGCAGGAGCTGATGTTAACTGACTCCAACTGGAAGAAGAGCATCTTGTGCTTGGGGACCCCACTCAAATTTCTCATTGAGGTGATGAAGACAGAACCACAAGAATGCAGATATAAGAGGAGGTGGGGTCAGGGAGGGGGATGAGGGGAGCAGTGAGCTTTAAGAACCCACAGGAAGTCATACATGACATCATTTGGACATCTTCTGCTGTATGAAGGGATATGACATTGAGGGGCCTGAAAACTTGATTTGTTTTCTTGTCTCCTCTCTGCAGAAGCGGGTCTTGGTGTTGCACTCCCTGCTCTGCGAATGCCATTCCTGTAGCACTAAGGAGGAAGATTTGGTGAGGTGTTTCACTGTCATGGTAACTCTGTGTCTGTACACCGGGTCAACTCTGTCTGACAGATTGGATTGTTGGATTGCTATTCAATAATTGGTACAATGCAGTCTGCAAACTTGCAGATTCCACATTAGAATGTTGCCATTGAATGACCTGAGGCATATAATTATGGCAACCATATTTAAGATTTCTCAGACTCTTAATGGCAGCTAAAACTGAGGCAACATGAGGCTGATTCTAACAAAGACTAGTTATTGTCAAAATAAAAGCAGGCAAAGAAGTGAGCATCTTCGTGCTTTAGCAAAGACCCGTGCCAATGCACTAAACTCTCACTCTTTTGGACATATGTTGGATGTCTTACTGTGTGTCCTCCACGAGGTGCAGAAGAACCAGGAGAATGATGACAATGATGACAATTGCTTCGTATGCAACGACGATGACGATTTGGTGTGCTGTGACAACTGCCCCCGCGTCTTCCATCATAAATGCCACGTTCCCACACTGGATGATGACACACTGGGGTGGGCATCACCTGCTGATGCATCAGAGAGATTAATTTGTTCAAGTTTACCCTCTGTGGTAAACCATAAGTTTATCATTTGCTGTGTTTCATTTCTTTGATTATGATAATGACAGTTTAACTGGTACTTAACCCTGCTTGTCTTTGCAATGGTTCTTTTCACTGTCACTCTGTGTCCCACCGCCTGAGCCGGCTAATGCAATGGAAAAAAAAGGGCTTGACTCAGCTCCGGTGTCCATGATTCTCTTTACCTACTGCCCACGCAGGGACAAATGGATGTGTACATTCTGCGTGATGAAGTCCAGTCAGAAGTGGCAGTATCCTGTACAGATACCCCATGAAACAGCCCTGCAAAAACCCATCGCAGACTATTTGCTGGTGAAGCCACCATGTTTCCATGTTCCAACATTTCATGGTCTCTGCAAGCTGTTATTCTGTTGTTTAGGGCTAGTTGGCTAATTATGCATTTTACTTGTGTCTCAATCACATTGTAGCACTGCCATTATCTCCTCCTGTTTCTGTACGAGGAACACCAGAAGCTCTGTAATATGGTGAGTTTGTCTGTCTGTCCCCATTTCCGTGCCTTTGTGTCACCGACGGCCGCATGAATATGCTCGTTCCTCTATGGCAGTCCGTAAGCCCCCTCTGCCTTCATGCCAGGTGAAAGGCCGCGAGGATGTCCGTGAAAAGCCTGCGTGGTTGGACAAGGTTGTCAATGCACTGCAAAGCAACCACTACTCTGCAGTTGGCGATTTTGTGTCTGACATTCAGCTCATTTTCAGCAACTCCTCCTCATCCAGCAGGGTAAGACGGCTTGAAAGAGCAAGTAGATTTTTAAAAACAGCATTTTTTCACTGTGGCATAAAATTTCATTTTGGCTCATTTTTGGTTAATTGAAGATATATTAAGAATGGGCATATTTATTTTTTTCTGTTTTCCTCAGGATATCTTCGGGGAGACAGGTGCCAAGCTCAAGGATATATTTGAGGAAGAGTTTCGAAAAATCTTCAAAATTCAGCTGAATTGCTAATGGTGATTGATGGATTCCCCTAGTTAATTTGTAGCTGTTTAATTATGTTCATTTAGTTCACTCATTTATAGCTTTCATATTCCTTTTTTTTTTCTTTTTTTGTAATTAAAATTTTTATTATTTTCCAAACCAAAAAGTTACAGCAGTCTCATATAATACACTTCAGCCATTCACATTTATATATCACAAACAATATGAACAATCACTAGTTGAACCTCCTAGCCATTTATCCTTCAAACACATCACCCCAGAAAATTTCCCACATTTTCATCATATCTTGTTTCCCATTTAGTCTGTCCAACATTTTTTCATATGAAGCTGTCTTAATCGTCTCATCGGTCCATTCCTTTCCATCGGGAATTGTTGAGGATTTCCAATGCCTTAATATTACCCTCATGGCAGTTATGAGTCCCACCATCACAGCCTTAAACTGTTTATTATTCACCTTTGGCAATTCTACTCTACCTCCTAGCAGACAGAGTCGGGGTTTGAGGGGTAAAGTAAAGCTTATAGCCATTTACCCAGGAGACCAAGAACTCTACCCCAGAATGGACACAGCTGAGGACACTCCGCACTCCCACAGCATGTGTTATTTATCTTATTTACACAACAGCTTGTCATTTTTGTCTCGTCACGGTCACACGTTTACAATTCTCCTCCGCTGTCTGTATCGCGCATGGCGGAGTTCCACCCCGATGCGTGTGCACAGACACGTGTGCACACACAGGTGGATCCTTAAGTATCACTAAAATATCGTCAGCATATAACATTAACTTATGTTCCTTCCCTGCCATTTTTACTCCCTCAATGTCTGGGTTCATTCTAATATATAGAACCACTGGTTCCAGAAAAATTGTAAATAATAGTGAAGAAAGAGGACACCCCTGACGAGTTCCCCTTGTTACCTTAAAGTATGATGAGAATATACTATTTGTTTGCACTGCTGCTTTGGGATGTTTATACAGTAATTTAATCCATGAAATAAAGCCTGGGGCAAATTAAAAAGCCGAAAGGGACTATTATATCCATATATTTCTTTTAATATTCCACCAGAAATCTATCCGCACCGAGAGATTTTCCTACTTCCATAGATCATATAACATCCCTAACCTCCTGAGATAATCGTGTGGGCTAAGAGAGTGACCTGTTCTCGTCCCAACTGTGGCAAGTTCAACTTCGTTAAAAACTGTTACGTCCTCCTGGTTTAGTATAGTTTGTGATGTATAAAGTTGTTCATAAAACTGTCTAAACACCCCGTTCATTTCTTTGTTGGTAGACATGTCTCCACTTCTTATAGCAGGGATTAAATTACAAGCATCCTACCGTTTGAGTTGTCAAGCTAATAACTTGCCTGCCTTCTCCCCTCCTTCATAATACTTCATCCTTAACCTGAAAAGCGCAAACCTCACCTTCACCTTTTTGTTGTACATTTCGTGCAATTGTATTTTACATTTACACAGATCTTGATACTTTTTTTTCAGAATATGATCTTGCTAACTCTTTTTCCAGCAAACAGATTTTTGTTTCAACCTCCTTTATTGATTCCAAATTTATCTTCTTTAATTTGGCTGCTTGGGCAATGCATTTACATCCCACACTGTTGCCAACTTCTCTGTTGATCCTATATTAAGCTCAAAAAATAACTTCAGGTCCTTAGCCAGAAAATCACTGAACATTTCATCTTGCAGCATTGTGGTATTCATCCGCCATGTTCTCCTTCCCTTTGCTTCAGTGTTAAGGTTAATATTCGTGTCACCTGACGCATGATTCGATAATGCTATAGAACCAATTTTGCAATCCATGACCTGTTCAACCATGAGCTTTGAAATAAAAAAATTATCTATCCTGGAGTGTGACTTGTGGTAATAGGAAAATAAATTATACTGACTTTCATTTGGGTACATCAATCTCCAAATATCAACTAGGGCCATGTCTTCAATTAGCATGTTTATAGCAGCCCTGTCTCTGGGTATTGAGGTCTGTTTATTCAAACTTCGATCGAGAGTACCCTCTATAACCTGGTTAAAATCCCTTCCTAAAATAAGGTGTCCCTCTTTATTCCTCAGCAGCTTGTTCACATCATTAGTGAGTCGTGGGTCTTCCTTATTGGGTGATACACATTGCACAGCACCACCCTCTCTCCGTTTATGAATGCTTCTATGCACACGGCCCTCTCCTTCTTTGAATTCACTGATCAATCTCAAATTAACTAGAATCATGACCCCCCCCCCCCCTCGGTTGCTCGAAACTGACGAATGAATGACTGATGAATGATTGTAGTCGCATCAGTTGCCACACCGCTGGAAGAAGCTGTACTGTGGATCTTCCCTTCCATTGTACCCCAACACAGTCTTGTTCATAGACAGTGGTGTTGTGATATTTTTATTTTTTTGTCTTATATGTCATGGATTTGGTTTATTCTTGACTCTACCAGTCACCTGCACTTGAGTCCTTCTCTTGAACGTCTGGTTCTAGAACCATCCATCCATCCAGTTTCTTGCTTTATGCCTTTCAGCATAACACTGAGATGATACAAGTAAATGTAGGATTGCGATAGAATAGAGGCACACTTTTCAGATATGTTTAACGTGTATGGCCTGCTCTCAGCATTCAAGGGCCACATTGAAATGCTTAGATCAGGCCATAATTGTCTTAAATCTGTTAGTTAGAACAGAACATGCTTATATAGTAACTAAGGTGATCAGCTTTTCCGTTTCTTATTGCACTGCGCTTCAGAAGGGTTGCTGCTTTGAGTCTTGTGCACCTAAGAGAGGAGTAGGATGGGAAAAGTAAAGCTATGCACGTTTCTACTGCTTCCTTGTTATATCATTGTAATGCCTGTTTTAAATAAACACGTGTTTAAAAGCTAAACCTTTTCCCAGCCGTTCTATATTTTAACAAAAAAATAGATAACGTTATCAGGCCAGCTAACTGGCGTGAGATTTTCAATTCGAGACAAGTCCATCAGCACACACATTTGCATGTATGTAACAGGTTTATTAACTTGTAAATAGTATGGAGTGTTTGCAAACTGCCCCATCGCTTTTGGTGTGGCTAATTTTAGGCTTATAATGGAATAACGTAGATTTGCCGTAAGATTTCTTGCACGCCAGGTGCGTGAGAGCAGGCAGGAGTCTCGCGCTGAAGCGGGAGTCAGACGAAGACTTAGCAGTTTAGTTTGTCCGCCACATTTATATGTGTTTGTGTGAATAATTATAAGAAATATATCACTGAATCTTAGACGTCAAGAAATAATTGTGACGTCTGGCAAGGTTTCTTGTTGCGAACGAGTGATATAGTGTATTTCAGATATCCGTTTAAATACGATACACTCGGCGAAGTTGGAGTAGGCCTATTGTTATACTGAATATTCAGTATACTGTTTAGCGGACATTGTGTGATTATAAGCATATATATAAAAATACAAAGGTATTATGAAGTCGGCGGATGACCAAGTACTGGAAGATGAAGCGGGTTACCAAGATGATGAGGTAAAAGTTAAGATCGCTAAGCGTATTTTCAGAAATGGACCAGATAAAGGATAGATTAGCTTTCTTTAGATCCAAAAGAGAACATTTTTCAAATAAACTGGAATAACTAGTCCAGAGAATTAGTCTGGTTAACTGCGCTGAGCTGCCGTTAATTGTGCCTGTTAAGTATTAATAAAACGTCTCTTTCTTTATACAGGAGTCTTTCTTTCAACATATCGACCTCCTGCAGAAACATGGCATCGTAAGTAGCATGACGACTTATGATTTGGAAAATCTTGTAAGTGGTCCGTCACTTTTACAGTAGTAGGAGTTTAAAAACGATCATATTCCTGTTGTATTTGCGGGTGATGGCTCGCAGTCATTCAGGTTAACATTGAAGGAGCGGCAAACTGAGTATGAAATGAAATACCGTGAGATGGAAATTGTATTTTGGTGCGCAAATAAACGTTATTGAACGACATATTTCAATATTATATATTAATTATATATTTATTATTAAGCGTGGATTTCCTTATATAAGGCAGGCGGGTTGCCAACTCTCGCGCGTCTCACGTGACACTCACGCTTACTGCATTATAAACCTAGAATTAGCTGCATCAGAAGCTTTCGGGTAGTTTGAGAACACTACAGACAATTTACAAGGTAATAAAACTGTTACATACATATAAATGCGTGTGCAGACTTGTCTCGAATTGAAAATCTCACTCCAGCCAGCTGACCAAAGTTGGCTGTCCTGATTTAAGGTTAGACACCCTGGTCAGGAATATTACAGCTCTGCTTCTCCGCAGACCCCAAACAAACCAGCCTTTTGGTCTCCAATCCATGCCCACTTTTTTAGATGTGGCCTTCAGTTAGAGTCATAATCACAGTTATATCTGTGCAGAACATGGCTGACATTAAGAAGCTGAAGTCCATTGGTATCTGCACAGTCAAAGGGATCCAGATGACTACACGCCGGGCTCTGTGCAACGTCAAGGGCCTGTCTGAAGCCAAAGTGGACAAGATTAAAGAGGCTGCAGGGAAGCTGGTGGTGAGATGACATGGAAGGATTTCAGCATAATGTTAAACTGCTACTAAGTTCATTTTTTTAAAATGCCAACCCTCAAATGATGCAGTAATGCCAAGAATGGCTGTGCCCCGTTTGAAGCGCTCATCTCATTTATTCCAGACCACTGGGTTTCTGACAGCCTTTGAATATAGTGAGAAGAGAAAACAAGTGTTCCACATCACGACTGGTAGCCAGGAGTTCGAGTTACGGGCCAAACACCAGCAGGGACACGTGACAGACATACCCTAACCAAAATCTGCCACTGCTTTCTGAAGATCTATATTTTGGTGTACATGTGTAGCATAGCTAAGTTCTTTGGTTATATAGGTGAGTAATCCTATGTCAGCTAATACTTATCTTGACCCTCTGCAGTAAACTTATTGGCGGAGGCATAGAAAGCATGGCCATTACTGAAGCATTTGGTGGTATGTTATTTTATCATCTCTATGCCGTTAACATGATACAAACACTATAACCTATTAGATCTTACTTCCTTACTGCATATTTTGTTTTACACTATTATCATTCATAGTGAAATCTATAATGCAAATTGTGTAAAGAACAATGTTCTTTATGGTTGCATGTGTAGTACAGACCTGTCTCAAATATTTATGCACCTTTTTGGCTAGAATTTCGGACGGGAAAGACACAGCTGTCTCACACACTGTGTGGTAAGCAGCTGCTCAACATTTTTATGATTAGGGTAAAAATTACTTAACATTAATAATAGCTGTGACATTTGTTCTTTAATGTAACAATAACATGCACTGGAACAAGTTATAGTTTTCTTCAGTGGTGTGTTACAAAAATTGTGGGTACTTTGTTTCACAGTCCTTCTGGCTCACTCCTTACCATGTCTCTGCAGTGACAACGCAGCTGCCAGGAGAGAAAGGCTACACGGGAGGGAAGGTCATCTACATTGACACAGAGAACACTTTGTATCCCTGCCAGAGAACTGGCCTTTGAAACCTTGTTCTGCTGGAATGGTGCATAGTGCTGCCCTGATATAAAACCAAAACTATTGCGATAACAGCTGCTGCCTAGTCTTCCTTACCCTGTGTCCATATCAGTCGACCAGACAGGCTGAGGGATATAGCAGACAGGTTTGACGTGGACCCCGAAGCAGTGCTGGACAATGTCTTGTACGCCCGCGCGTATACCAGTAAGAACCAGTCACCACTTTCCGACTTCATAGTTGTCAACAAGTAACCTTTGCAACGTCTGTCCGCATGATCATTTGCTTTCAATTTAATCAAACACAAAAATGCCACATATCTCACCTTTTCAGTCAAATGTTTGACCAACAGTGCAACCAGCTGTTTGATTTCACACCTCTATAATTTAACAACAGAATATCTGGGAGTTATGTCCAGATTACAATACCATTTGTATAGAAGAACTTTTCCAACTCAGGACCTCATAACCTATGGTGCTTTTGGTCACATAGTGCACATAGTTCATTTAAATAGTCAAAATTAAAGATCTTTGAAAATATTATTTCTGCATAACAAGAGTTTGGTTTGAAGTTGAAAAATTAAAATGATCATGTGGTTTAACATCAGTTCAGTCAGATTTAATTACACAAGAGCTTATCCGTGGTCTTCAAGAACCATGATTGGCAGTCGCTGATATAAGGATTATTAGTGATTGAACTCTATTCTAAAGGAATGGAATTCATTTATCTGCACGTTTTAAGTGTGTAATTATTCTATACTGAGATTGTCACTCATTGCTTTGATCTTAACAGCATAAATTAATTGGTTTGTGCTTTGATACTGGAGCAGATCTGGTACACACTTTCTGTTAGCAGGTGTTGATGATGATGTTTAATCACAGGCGAACACCAGATGGAGCTGCTGGACTATGTGGCAGCGAAATTTCACGAGGAATGCGGCGTCTTCAAACTTCTGGTGAGGAGTCTGAATACTTTCCAGCCCAGTGTCTCCTGAAGTAGAGGAATATACATAGGGCTTAGTTCTTCAAAATGTGTTTTCTGAATGTGTAAGCAGATCTATTTTCGTGATTTCAAATTGCAGAAATGAGTTGACTCAATGGATAACAGTTGTCCTCTTGTGTGGAATTGGCATGTTCGACTTTTGGATTTCAATTGAATACTTTTACATCCTTCCACAGTCCACAGTCTATGATTGTGTTTGATTGTGCCCTATGTTACCTGGGATAAGCCTCAGGTGTCTACCTCAGGTGTCTATTCTTGTACCAGATAAGCGGAAGGATGACAACTGTATTTTGATTCACACTCTTTTTAGGCGTTTTTAATACAGTCATGTTTGAAAATGCCAACTATATGTGTGCTGTGCTCAAGAATTGCTGTGCTGTGCACTGAATGCAAAAATGATTTACAAGGCAATGGCTTGGACAGAAAGGAATTTTCTAGGAGCAAAGTTTCAGGAACTAACTAGACTCTGCTTTCAGAGCATCTCCTTCCCATTTGAGTCATTAGATCCAATGTTCAGACCCTTTAAGACTAACATAGTGTACTCTCGGGGTCTCAGAGTTATATACCCCTGCCTGTCCCTCATTACTTAGATTATAGACTCCATCATGGCACTCTTCCGTGTGGACTTCTCCGGCCGGGGCGAGCTGGCAGAGAGGCAACAGAAGCTGGCCCAGATGCTCTCCCGGCTGCAGAAGATATCTGAAGGTGAGGCCACTCACTGCATAATTCTGATCTAGTAACATGCAATATGCTGACGTCTCAGAAGAAGAAAATACTAAGAATGATGTGTCACGATTCTGTTTACGTACATATCATTGCTCCTCATTTCAGTCTTTTAGAATATGGGCTATTACATGAAGAACAGAACTAATGTGCACCTATATCCGTGTTATATGCCTGCTGCTTAACACTGGCAGGTAGCTGCATTATTAATACAATGCACAGCTACTGAGCCTTTGAAGAAATGATGCCATAGGGATTGCAGATGTTTAATGCTACGTTTAAAGTCTGTTTGTGTGATACATAGAGTACAACGTGGCTGTATTTGTGACTAACCAGATGACTGCGGATCCTGGAGCTGGCATGACGTAAGTGACTGAAGTACAGCTTGTATAAACTCAGATTCATGTAGAATTAACCAGGATTCTAATGAGCTACTTGCTTTTGTTCTGCATGTAATCCATCATGATGTAACTGAACTGTCTGATAATTACGGAGAACACATGTTTACCTTTTGTTCTAAACATGAACTAGTCTCTGTGATATACAGACACAAATATTTTGCATACTGGACAATGAGTATAATATGAATATTTTTGCATTTACTTCTTCATATCTTATTATTAGTGAAGTCTAATTGACTTCATGATTATTACCTTGATATTCATCGCACAACACAGCACTATTCTGTGTTCCATAAACCGTAAAGTGTGAGTCACACAGAGTTTGAGGATGGGAATAAACGCAGAATCATTATGACCTCTCATGCTATCCTAGAGAGATGTTGGAAAGGCTCAAAAGCAGCGTTTGTCTCAGTTTCCAGGTAGATCCAAAGAAGCCCATTGGAGGGCACATACTGGCTCATGCATCGACCACCCGCATCAGCCTGAGGAAGGGACGAGGGGAAATGCGAATTGCCAAAATATTTGACAGGTGTTGCAAAAGTCAGATATTCCTTCTTTGGACATCAACCTGCTGATTATACAACTAGCGCCTTAACCTTGACTGAAAGGCCAGTACTGCCTTAAACTCTCCTGGAAGGGTTGGCTGCATTTTATACAGTCCTGTCTGGTGATGACTGTAGTATTTCCAATAGTTATAAAGTCTGAGGTTAAGTGCAGGCAGTAACGTTGAAAGTACCAATGACGGTTTCAGAAAAACCTGCAGAAACGTATCTTTGAAGGTAGATTCTAAGGCATTCTGCACCCACTCTTCCCAGCCCTGACATGCCGGAGAACGAGGCCACCTTTTCCATCACCGCGGGCGGAATTGCTGACGCCAAAGAGTGACAAAATGAGGAGGAATCCATACTTCCTTGCCTGGAGTATGACTTTGTGATAATGCTGCATAAGCACTGTGTACTTGGAAGGTGTATATGGAAGGGTATTTATTTATGTCTCCGATGGGTTTCATTTTTGGTGTTCAGTTCTAAAAGTTCTGTGTTTGTTGCGTTTGTCATGAATTTGTGATGCTGGTTTTATTGTGTATGTTTTTATGGGTTAGCAAAGTGAACTTGGACTCGAGTGTTTTTTTATTTATTATTATTCACTTCTGAATTTTAAATAGTAAAGTGAGGCCCAATGTCTAAAACCATTTAAATTAAAATTTCTTTGGATTCATTGACATGCCGTGCATTTTTTGTTGGTCATCATACTTAAAATGTATGTTCAGTCTCTGGGAGATCAGCCAATGTCAGGCAAATGAAATCGGGGATATATGAGGTAATTTGCATCGTTAATGCAGACGTCCCAAGTTAGACAGGTGACAACATATGAAATGACCAGACAAGGTGAAACTATTTCATAGGATAGGTGATTAATCATAAAACTTAATCATCGGATATACGTGTTTCTGTGATTATACGCGTGATTATTTGAATCTGTTGCAGATATGTGGTTAAAATGAATGTTTTTGTTTTAATGGTTTTGTTTGGAGTGGACGTTTGTATGGGGTGCGGATGCTCCGATCGGGTCACGCGGCGCGGTGACGATGCCCTTCGTCTTTGTCTACGGGGCCGCCATCTTGTCATTGCTTACCGGCGACCGGCTCGCACCTAAATTTCACCAAAACGCAACTGCAAACCGTTTATCCGCGTCCCTGCCGTCTAATTGCGGTGGTTTCGTTGCTTTGCACATCCAGCATTTTTGAACCCCACTGTATTTTTACCCGCATCTCAAGCTGCTTCACAGAGACGCGCTACCCGTGAGAGAAAAACTACTTATAGAAACGGATTAAAAATAGGGATAACACCGGAGGTTTTGTGTAAGAGTGGAATACACGTGTGCTAGCTAGCTATTTTTTTTTTTGGTAAAATTTTCAATAAAAATGAGAGGAGGTTCTTCGTATGGAGACAGAGATAGACACCGCGGACGCGATAGGAGGTAAGATTTCGTTCCCTCCGGTTTTATTGATTCATTTGGTCACCGGCCAACTGTGGTTAGTTAACCTAGGAAGTATGCAATCTGTACTTTATGCTGTCATCATCTAGCTGAATAATATACTTATATAAATATTAAAGAAAAGCGTCTCGCAATCTGTCATGTATCCGGCATACTGTAGGTTGCATGCAGCTGGATACGTACATCCCATCGGGAATAATGAACACTTAGTTATTATGAATTAAAACGCATTCGAACAACACTTTTAAATAGCATTTTGTAGGTAAATGGAGATGAAAGTCTGTTCATCCGGCGGCGTGCGGTTCACGTGTAAGGCTGGAGGATGCTTGTGTACAGTGCGGTCTTTCTTACTGTTATCTAACCGGCTTTGCTGATCGCTGATTATTTAACCCACTGTGTACAGGTATTCCTGTCCTTTCGTCCGCCCTATTTTATTTTTACTTGCGCGCTTTGAAATTTGTGTTGTAGCATTGTATGCTAATGTAAGGTTAATATTTTCTGGGTATTGATGATGATAAGGTAAAAAGTAATGTAATTGTTCTGACCTGTCCGACTGGTATTTTTTGTTTTAGTGATGTGTATTTTCTGAATGCCCATAGGCCATAATTTTATACAATATGCTTTTATGATATTTAGTCCTCGCTTTGGGTCCAGTCGAAGTGGATCAAAGTTTGGTACCCCTGGCGAGCGTCTGCGCAAGAAGAAATGGGATCTTGATGAACTGCCCAAGTTTGAGAAGAACTTCTACACTGAGCACCCGGAGGTGCAGCATATGAGCCAGGTATTCTCAGTCCTGAGTCGTGTTCTCAGCGCCTTTCCCTTTATTTTGACCTGGAAAGGCTTGTCTATCCAGGGCTTGGAACCCTGTCCGCTGGCCATTCTGCTATGAAGAAACAGCCTAAAATCTATTGATGTTTCATTTTCTTTTCCCCTTGCATGTTGTCATGGTATCTCATTTTTCCACCAACATCTGGTGTGTTTAGTATGAAGTGGAGGAATTCCGCAGGAAGAAGGAGATCACCATCAAGGGATCTGGCTGTCCCAAACCGGTCACCAGTTTTAGTCAGGCACAGTTTCCTCGTAAGTAACACTTGCCCCCCCCCCCCGGGTAAATACGAGAGTAGGGGATCTCTAAAGGAAGGGTGTCACTTTGAACCTGAATTCCTTTTATCTGTGGTTTGCCAGAGTACGTGATGGATGTGCTGATGCAGCAGAACTTCAAGGAGCCCACAGCCATTCAGGCCCAAGGCTTCCCCCTGGCGTTGAGCGGGAGGGACATGGTGGGAATCGCTCAGACAGGCTCCGGAAAGACGTTGTCGGTAAGCTGAGAGAGCCAAGCTTGTCACGGGGCGGAGAGCACCGAACACCGCCACACAAACGGGTTTGATTTCGAATGCAAGTTAATCCTGACGGAACACTGCCAGGGAACACTCTGGGACATGCTGTGCTTTGGCAGGCCGCTGTTAAGTGTGAGAACGTCTCTCATTCTCTGCCATGTTTGTGTCTCAGTATCTCCTGCCTGCCATTGTGCACATCAACCACCAGCCCTATCTGGAGCGAGGAGATGGACCTATTGTGAGTAAAGCAAGTTCTAGAACCAGAAAAAGTACTGAGTGAACAAGTATCAGGACGTTTGACGTGCACAGAATATTATGCACTGGCTTACTGTGTTCCCTGTTCTGATCAACTGAGCTCTTTCCTCTGCCTTGTCTCGGCACAGTGCTTAGTTTTGGCTCCCACTCGAGAGTTGGCCCAACAGGTGCAGCAGGTGGCTTATGACTACGGCAAATCATCCCGCATCAAGAGCACCTGCGTGTATGGAGGCGCACCTAAGGGCCCTCAGATCCGGGACCTGGAGAGAGGTGGGGGCCCCCTTTGGCGTTCAGAGCCATTCCCTGTGTCTCCACTAGGTGTCTTCCATGGAAAACCATGTCAGACCTCAGTTCATTTAGCAGTGAGCTATATCTACCTTCCACAGGAGTGGAGATTTGCATTGCCACCCCTGGCCGTCTTATTGACTTTCTTGAAGCGGGCAAGACCAACTTGCGACGGTGCACCTACCTGGTGCTGGACGAGGCCGACCGCATGCTGGACATGGGCTTCGAGCCTCAGATCCGCAAGATTGTCGACCAGATCCGGGTGAGCGACTGGGTGCGATGCACTTTGGCGGATGTTGGAGTCATGCTTCTACGGGGGGCATCACCCGACCTCTCTGTCTCCCCCACAGCCTGACCGGCAGACCCTGATGTGGAGCGCCACCTGGCCAAAGGAGGTGCAGCGGCTTGCAGAGGACTTCCTGCGTGAATACGTGCAGATCAATGTAGGAGCCCTGGAGCTAAGCGCCAACCACAACATCCTGCAGATTGTGGACGTGTGCATGGAGAGCGAGAAGGACAACAAGTGAGGCTAGCAGAGGCTCCACGGATCTTGTGAAGAACTCGGGACTGTCGGGGGAAATAGAATCATTGGGAATGGTGAAGGTTTATCTGGTTCTGCCGCCTCCAGGCTGCTCCAGCTGATGGAGGAGATCATGGCAGAGAAGGAGAACAAGACCATCATATTTGTGGAGACGAAAAAGCGTTGCGATGACCTCACCCGCAGGATGAGGAGAGATGGGTAGGACTGTGGGGCTTTCTCACACACAGACCCACTCTGCGTAAGCTGGTCTGAAATTCGAGTTCCTCCTAATGATCTATCTGTTCTAATGCTGACCTTCTCCATCGTTGACTCTCATAACATTTCCACACATCATCTACCTCCTTCCACAAAATAAAATGTTCCTTCTGTCTTTTTCATTCCTTTTTCTCATCTTTCTTTTTTCTGCCTTGCCAAGGTGGCCGGCAATGTGCATCCATGGCGATAAGAGCCAGCCAGAGCGAGACTGGGTTCTGTCAGGTAAGGAGTTAATGACTCGTACGAGGATAATAAAACTTACTTCACATTTCACTTTTCTGCATGTGTCGTCGTGCCCGTGGAAGCTTGTGTTCATAGTACATTTGACCACGGGCGCAGATGGTCACAGTCGGTACATGCATGCAGCAGTGATATACCATCAGACCAGGAGAGGCCAGATGTGTTGCAACAATCACAAATACAAGCAGTGTAGTGAAACAGGTAATCCTTTTATGAACCTTGGGTGCTATTAAGGTAATACGGCATACCGGTATTTTGAAATCCTAATGAAAAATTAGCTGTGATCCCCCCCCTCCCTGGTGGGTGAATTTTATCGCCAGTATTTCAAAAAGCTGGAATAGTGTTGCTTTGTAAAATACCATATACCTTAGTGTAAGGTCTGGACAGTACGAAAAATTAGACATGTGGGTACCTCCGACCCTCCTCATACAGCTGCTCATCATAACCAGTCACTGTGGGCAGTGGTGGCTTAATGGTTAGGGACGCGCACTTGTGATTGGAAGAGTGCAGGTTCGAATCCCCGACCCGCAAGCCACCACTGAGGTACCCTGAACAAGGTACCCCGGGCGCTGAATTAGCTGCTCCCTGCTATGTCACATATGGGTTAAATGCAGGGGACACATTTTGTTGTTGTGCACTGTGTGCTGTGGTGTGTCAACAATGACAACTAATCACTGAATTCTATAAATTCAACAGCCACAAGTCTTCCTCTGCTCTGTCTTGGTTGCTGTCTGCACTGTGCAAGTCGGCTTTGCCACCTACTGGAAGCACCCTGGCAATTTCCTTGCACATGTGCAGTTGACGTGCATGGATGCACCAGATCTGGGCGACGAAATACACGTCACCTCACCCAGTGCGCGAACGAAAGTGCACGCTGGAGAGTGAAGCGTAAAATACTCAGAATTTCCTTTAACTCGTTTGCTTTGTCTTTTGTTCTTCTCAGAGTTCCGCAGCGGCAAAGCTCCTATTCTCATTGCTACTGATGTCGCCTCCCGTGGTCTGGGTATGTCTGCGGCCCCACGCTCCCCGAGTCCATACACCTAAATACAGACACACGCGCGCACACACACACACACCCAAACATCAGCTTGAGTGTGGCCCTGCCCCACCCCCCAACCCCCCTCCCCGTGTAGCACCCCCCCACGCCACCAGCACCCCACCTGAACTGCATGAGTGAAAACAGAATGATTTGAGCACTCTCTGTACTTCAGAGCAGTTGACTTAGCGTAAAAAAAAAGCAGTCACATGACACCTGACATATGACATCAGTACAGCTAGGACTGCTACAGTGACTTTTAGAAGTAAGTAATTACATATCCAGAGTATGAGATCTCTGATCACCCTGAAACTGGGCCTAAACCCAGCAGTCTGCAATGATGATGTTAGATGTTGTGGTGAGTAAATGAAAGTTTAGCTTTGTGCTGGTGTCAGGCGGCGATTTGATCTGGGGGAAGCCGAAAGCGTCTGACACAGCCCCTGCGTGATGATAAAAATTTTTAACCAATTTTTTTCTGTGTTCATTTATTTTTTATTTTGTTTTTTTGTTTTATTTTTTTGTTTCCAAGTCTCTCTTCTGGCACTAGAAGCGCACAGGCCCACGGGAGCCTGCAGCCGGACCTAGGCATGACTAATCGAAGCCTGAGTTGCGGAGAGAAACGGGGGAGAGACACAGCCTGATTTATCAATCCCAGACACAGCCGTCTCTCCGAAACCCAAAGCAAAGCCCTCAGACTCTTTCCCCCCTTCCAGGACACCGGCTGCCTGGGCAACGGGGGGGGGAGGAGGGGTACTGCTGGGATTCCAAATTTCAAACTGGGATGGGGCAGGGGGGTCAGCTGAGAGGGGCGAGAGAGGGTGCATGGGGGGGCCGCCTCCTTTAACGTACGCCAAGGGCCCGCTTTGGTAACAACGCAACACTCAGTCTAAGGTTGAGCTAATAGTGCTAAGGAATTCTGGGTAAATATGCTTTTCCTTCAGGCCCCTCCCTGATCAATGTGGTTCCTTTAATTAAACACAACCTACAGGGGACACTTTTCAAACTAGATTGAAATATATACTATCACAAATTTTCCAGTCATCTGGGCAGTTGTAGCCTGAAGGTCCCAGTGCCGCCTGCATTTAAGTGACATTCAAAGGTCTTTGGGCCCTTGCTTAACATGGCTACTAGTTAATTCTTATAACCAGGCCAGAGCAGTTCTGCAAGATGGTGGAGAATGTGCTGTGGCGAGGTATAGCGGAGCAGTACGTAGCGGCGTTGTGAGAGTGTTGCATTCTGGGAAGGCGGAGCGAGGAGGCTGAGCGGCAGGTCAACAGCTCTGGGAGGCCCCCCCCCTCTGAAGTGCCCCTGCGACGCCGACTCCAGCCTCGCTGACACCCCCGACCCCCCCACCCCCACGCGTGGCTGTGCCGGCCTCCCCCTCTGCGGGTGTCATGTCTGGTCCTGGCTGGCAGGAGTCCTGGCCTGAAGGAGCCGCTCTGTCTCTCAACTCCTCTCTATCCTCTGTTTCTCCCATCTCCCCATCTTTTCCTTTTCATTCACCTCCCCTTACCTCCTCCACCCTGCCCCCCCCCCGGCTCCGGAGTGTCTCTCGTACTTGTCAGTTACTGTCTTGCTCCTCTCTCTTGCCCCTCTTTCTTCCACGTATACCCCACTGCCCCCCCATCTTTCAGTAGTGCCGTCAGCTTCTTCGTACGCATCATGCTTAACCCAAGACAACCACACTTAGTCACATGACCCTCAGTCAGGAAACAAAAACACAGGTCATTTATTCAGTCACAACCTCTTGAGTTTGTCTACTAGACTGATGCACAGCCCCCCCCCCCCTTTTTTATTTTTTATTTTTTAAAGGCTGGCTATTTGGTAACTCACTGTGACCCCCCTCTCCTGGAGAATGGGTCCAATCTCAAAAGCCCTTGTCTGTTTCTTGTTACTTAGTGACTCTGAACCAAAACATTTCTCAGGGCAGTGAGAATTGCTACCCCAAAATAGGCTTTTTGCTTTTTTCTGTAAGATCTCAAGTTTTTTGCTTTAGCTTTTGCCCGTGTTTTCGACTTAATCCTCGCCCTGAAATGTTTACTGCACTCAGATTCCCGGTAAAGACGCCTGTGCTCTAAGCCGGCTTCTGTTAGCTGGGTCTGCAGCAGCCACGGTTCGGGCTTCCAGGGCGCCGCGCCCCTGTAAATAGGCATCGATTCACTGGCCGTGGCACATGTAGCATTTTCAGGCATTTAAAAACCATTTTAAAAGGGGTAAGTACCTTCAGCACTGAATCTGCAAGTCAAGTGAACTTCTGCTCTTCCTGGAGCAGATGATTTAATTATTTGCACACTGATTCTAATTTTTATTTTTTTTTCTTGCACTTTTCAAAGATAGTTTGCAAGAAAAAAAAAACACCCCCTGACCCCAATTTTAAGATGTCACAGGTTTCTGTAATGAGAAACAGACCAGAGGTCCTTAATTCTTCAAAACTAATTTTTAACTTCCGAATAAAGTGGATGCGACTGCATACCCTACTGGTTCCAGCAAACCGTTGAATGTGGCCCAGATCAGTGAGTGGGTGCTTCAGACCTCTACCAGACTCAGTCTTTCTGTGGCCACCATGTGTCTCTTGTAACTTAGAGACTCTCATTCAAGGAAAGTGAGCAGGAGGATGTTTTGGTGGAAGTAGGCGCAGTGTGAACATTAACAGATTTGTTGTGCTTTATAGCTAAGTGAGCGGTAAGTATGATGTTTCATTGTGGGTCTCGCTCATATCTGCTTAATCGAAGTGCTTGTAGTGGTCGAGTGGCAAGGTAAGTGGGGTGATTTCTGGCTAAACGTGAGAATTTTTTTGGCAAATCTGAATGACTTGCTGTACAGTAATTTGTACATTGGGTTCCTGCGCTAGGCTTCGATATTCACTAACCCATTTTTTTTTTATTATTTTCCTTTTTAACAAAAAAAAAAAAACTCCATTCGACTTCCCCTTTTTCCCTCACTCAAGATGTGGAGGATGTGAAGTTTGTGATCAATTATGACTACCCCAACTCTTCGGAGGACTACATCCACCGCATCGGCCGCACGGCGCGCAGCACCAACAAGGGCACCGCCTACACCTTCTTCACCCCGGGCAACCTGCGGCAGGCCCGTGAGCTTATCCGGGTTCTGGAGGAGGCCCGACAGGCTATCAACCCCAAGCTGCTGCAGCTGGTGGACTCTGGGCGTGGGGGCGGAGGTGAGGCATGTTCATGGGGAGGATGAGGGGCGATGGTCTGTAGCCCTTTATTGCTCGCAAGGTCACATTCATGATGGTTAATTGCCCACACTGACGGCCGCCTCTCCTCACCTGCAGGGGGGCGCTCTCGCTTCCGGGGCAGTGGTTCCAACTCCAACAACCCCAACCTGATGTACCAGGAAGAGTGTGACCGGCGTATGCGTACGGTCGGCGGGGGGGACAAGGGCAGCCGGGGGGGCACCACCAACAACAGCAGCAGCAGCTTCAGCCGGGATGGGAGAGGAGGGGGCGGGAGCCGGGATGGGGACAGGTCGTCCTCTTCCTCATCTTCATCTTACAGGGACCGGAGCAGCAGTAGTCGGAGCGGGGGGAACTACGGCACGGGTTCTAACTCCGCGGCCTCCTTTGGTGGCACGGGGGACCAGTACCAGAGTGCCCAGTACAACTCCAGGGCTGGCTCTCAGTCCGGGGGGGGCACCGCTTCCGGAGGGAGCAGTGCGGGGGGGCAGGATGCCTCGAGCCAGCAGCAGGGCCAGTTCGGCCGAGCCAGTCAGCCCCCACCGCCCCCTCCAAGTGGACCCCAGCCCCTGATGGCACAGCAGTTCTCACCACCTCAGCCAATGATGGGCTTCATGGGGCAGGGTCCGTACCCTTTTGCCCCTCCCCCTCCTCCCCCCCCTCCCCCACCCAGGAAGTAAAGATGTCGTAACTCCCTGTCGTACTCTGTGTCAGTTGGGGAAGCTGACGCAGGCCCGAATCCTTGTCACTGTATAAATTTTTAGGTATGATTAGGGATTGGGGGGAAATTATAGGGCTAATATCGAGGGGGGTATGAGTGATTTTTGGGGGGGAACAAAACCATCCCATAATATCCTTGTGCATGTACACCTGTTAGTTTGCACAGCAGGACACTCGTTCAGCTCTCAGATGCCCTCTGTCTCAGCGATGTTTGAATGTTATAGCTGCAGGTGAGCATGTTGCTGACTGACCGCTGGGAGATCGTTATTTTACGATACTCCTGTTGTTTAGTACTGTATCCTCTGAAGTAATATTACCTTAAGACTGTCTCTTTGATTCTGTAAAAACCAAGTGTGAGGATAAGGTGGTCTGGGAGGGCTTCGGTCTTCATGTCCGGCTGCATGCTCCTTTGCACATTTTGGCTGTGGATGCGAAGGCCCCCAACCCAAATAAGCAGCTGTTCATTTTCCTTACGTACCTTGTGCTCTCCTGTCACTTTCTCTGCTATCTGTACAGCAACTTATTACCGTGTCTGCAGATTGTCACCAAACGCCATGCAAGTTTTGTTTTGGTGAAAAAATTGGCGTTCACTTTGACTCATTTCTCGTACGAGAGGTAATTATTATTTTTTTTAATTCCCTGTAATACACACCTCCTGGTATTGAGTTGGGGGATGTATGGAAGTGCATTTTGCTTTTCTTTTTTTTTTGGAAAAGGTAGGTGCTTCAAAATCTACTTAGAGACTTGATAGAAGTGATTGAGCTGCTGGCAGATTTGCTTGTTGGCTTGTAGTGGTCAAATTGCACAATAGAATCATCCTTTTTATTTGTACTGTGGACTCAATTATTTCAAAACTTGTCCAGTTACATTGTGTTGCACTTAGGAATGGGATGTAAACTTGACAGCCAAATGTAACTCTCCAGTGTGGTGTAGTATTTATTTTATACTTTCTTGAATTGCTGTTCAAATAATTAATGGCTGCCAAAGGAATTTTATTCATCCCAGTCTTATGTAAGGTTAGGGTTAGGTTAGGGTTAGGGGAATGTGGCAGCCTCATTCCTCACCCCCCTCCCTCAAGCAGATTTTGCAAGATCTACTCTATATCCTTTTTATATTGGACTGTTCTGCTTTCCAGGTTCGAATAAAGATTTTGAACATTCAGAGTGACATGCAGTTGTTTGTGTTTGCTGGTGTCGTTCTTCTGCCTTATACCAAGACCGATGTGACACAAGGTCCCGCCAGGAATTCATTAGGTTTGTGTTGCATCTTCGTTTCTCAAAGTGCACAGCAGGGGGCGACACATACTTAAGAAGCGTGCATTTTATGACACTGCTTTAGACATTTCCGTAGATATTTTGCTAACCATTTATTGTAACAATAAAAGATCCAACTAATGGTTTTCTCAAATTTGAAATAGTTCAAAAATGGAAGGTACATATAACAATAAATATAATTTGTCAGATGCTTATATCCAAGGAGAAGGACAGTTGACAGCAGGGCAGATCTTGGATCATTTGGGGTTTAAAGGGCATGAAATCCCCAACCACAGAGTACGAACCGGCGATTTTTCGACCACAGCCACGGCCCATTGACCTACGCACCGCCCTCAAAGATGTGAAATGGATACATGTGAATTATCATCTCAGCTAGTAAAGATCTGATATGCTAGACTGCAATATGGTGCTTTGATAGCCAGTTCAGCAAATTAGTATTTTCAGCAAAAATACCTGCTACAAACTTTGGCGAAAAGATAGATAAATTCACAGTAAAGCAAAAGTCTCAAAACTCTTATACCTCAATACCTTAAAACTCTTCAACGGCACTTTGGATTTTGCAGTGCCTGTATTTTTGAGTGCTTGTTCTTTGAAGCATGATGATGAATAACTATATTTTAGTCGTCTTTGATCATATATTACATAGGCTATGCAGTATAGTTTGGACAATATACTTAAATATGCGAAGTGCATCCTGAAAATAGCACATGAAACTTTTAACATAATCCCAAGCACAGGGGCGTCAGAAGCATTTTGAATGTCGGGGAGACACACTGGCATAAAACTAATATTTTATGTTAAATGGTGGGGGGGGGTCCAAACTAATAATTAGGAAATGTGAGGGGGACATGTCCCCCTCAGTTTTAATGGCGGCGACGCCCATGCCCAAGCATCTCGGGATCTGGAACAGGTCCCTCACCAGATGCTTAGAGCGGCAGTGGCTCACCCCAAAAAATCGAAAATAACAAATAGATAATTTATCATTGTGAGGTCGTTAAAAGTTCTACTCAAACAGCATCTCCAAAAAACACGACAATCGCCTGGGCGTGTAATTAACAAAGTTCATTCAGGGACGGCTTGCCTTTTATAGCATACTCTAAAAGCAAAGCATGATTTTAATGCGTAGTCTATTTAAATTTGTAGCATAATGTTCTGCTATTCTCTACAGAGTTACAAATACACTTTGCAGCTAAATCCATCGTTCTGTGCGCCAGTTTTATCTCAAGGCAGTTTTTCTGGCAAAGTAGTCTATATTTTTGTCACCTGTCGAATATTTCTATATTTCTTGGATACAAACTGATAAACATACACAGACTGATGGCTTGGAGAATTACCTAATGGAATATAGCGCTGTACCGTGCCAAAGACATTCAGCAAGGTAGTTAGCGAGCCTTGTGACGGGCTACTGATGGAATGGGAACGAACCACAAAAGTCTTTTGTGTGGTATGTGGATTTGGTGTCTAGCCATCCACTGCACACATAAGTCAACTTATCTTGAAAATAAACAAGTGCTATGCTGTGTGAAAGTGAAATAGCCGGTCGGTTTGCCCGGGCAGAACGCTTCCACAGTAGGCTACATGGACAGTCACTAAGTTTTGTCTAGGAGTGTCAATGCTGGTGTAACAGAGCAGAAGTGCATCTGCCTTTATTTTGTATAATTACACAAATAGATCTACCAGAGACTTTTATTTTGATACCTGGTCACGAGGCTGATATTCCCCATTTTCCGTCCGTCTTCCCCCAGTATTATATCAGCCAGTGAAGAAATATTTCTGTTATTATCAGGAATAAAACTGGATGGTTCAAACCACGGGTCACTCCTTTATTTAACCGGCGGACCAAGCAACACCAAACACAACGCAGAAGCAACACCCCGTCCACCCCGGTTACACTGGATCAGCATTGATTGAGAGGTGGTAAGAAAAGAAATATCCACTGCACGTGCACTTGATAGATATATAGTTACTGCACTTTAGCAGGCACTGATTACATATCATACAGTTTTATACAGTCTTGTATTGTTTTGACTTTTACACACTCCTACAATAATTATGTTACTAGGAGAAGTCACCTGACGTGCCTTTGGGGTAAATTTGACCCCAGGGTAGTTGCGAGAGTTAAGTTGTCTGCATTGTTAGGCACCACCCTTATTTTTAGCGCTGCCTTATTTAGTCTTTTGTAACCCAGTGGATGAATGATTGAGCAAAACACTGAAACACCAATCAAATTAATTCATTTTCTAGCCAATCATAAAACCACTGGTGTCCTGCATAATACCATAACCATACTACTGGATAATTACTGTGTCATGAATTACTTGTTTTATGTGTTCATGTAACTTAGAACTTAGAATAAAATACTACAGCACTTCTTTTAACAACAAATCTATTCATTATTATTAGATTAGCTATACGTACGTTGTAAGACATATTAAAAAACAAAACATTCACGGTCTTAGTAGACTTGGTATGAAACACTGATTTAACAAGTAACCTATGGTTAACATTCAAAAAAGTTTATTGCTAATTTTAAAAACATGTCAGCTGAAACACCCAGCTAAAAATAGAATTAGCATCGGTAAACAAATTAATTGCATCATAGTTTGATAAGGCGTTATCATATCATTACAGCTAGCGTGGCTAATTTATTCTGTACGTCAGTACAATTTTTATCAAATCGTTGGATTTATTCAAAATTCTGACTATCTTCCCGTATAAAGTCCTGCTCTAGCGCCTTCATCTTCTTCAGCATGTTTTTTACTGGAAGGCCAGGATTGGTTGTTACCTTACCTGCAGCTTTATGATTGGCTAGAAAATTAATGAATTTGATTGGTGGCTAAGCGAGCAAATATTTATCTGCAAAGTGCTAGGCAAGTTAGTGCCAAAAATTATTTATGTGCGCAAGTGTGAATTTGCACTCGCAGGTTGGTATTTGCAAGAAGACTTGGATTTGCAATACAGGTTTTGTACTTGAAAACCATTCTATCTTTGTAAAAAATATTTTTATGAAGATGTTTGGTTTCGCATTTACAAACAATATTGACGTGTATTTGCAAAATGTTTTTCACGTTCATTCACAAATCTTCATATACAAGTACAGATCACGTGACGCGTATTTCTGTTCATTATTTTGCGAATGAAACTTGTGTTCAGTGCGAGCAAATTTCATTTTACGGGTACAAATTGAAAAGTACATATACAAGTATATATGGCACTATTCTGACTCCATATATCCGCAAATGGCCTGTGTGTGCAGGTTAGGTCAGCTGTTCAAACCCAGGTGTGAGGATTCTTCAGCCAATCAGTCCTCTAATTGTAATCTAATCAGGGAGTCGCAAAGAAAACCCACATACAAAACAAATCTTTCTGGATAAGACTGGCAACCCATACAATGGACTGTTGGGTACCAATCTGCATTGTAGTTTTGTCCTCAGCACATCTACAACACGCTTTGCTGCATGCAAATCCTATTTAGCGATGTTTAGTCAATTATTTGGACAAGGCGACAGTCCAAATTTCATTTAGTGGTTTAATGTTTGTCAGTGTCTTATTTTTTCCTTCTTTCTCCCTGTTTATCATTTCTTCATTTGTTCCTATTTTTCATTCCTATCTTGTTCATTTCCTTTATTTGGTTCATGTAGTCCCATTGTATTCATTTTTATTTGTTTTGTGCTGTTTTGTATGTACTGATGTTGTACCAACCCACTGGTATTGTACTCTTATTCAAAACATCTGACAATCTGTTTCAGAAAGTCTCTTTTGGTTTCATGAGTTAAACATTGTTCTATACAGTGGTACCTCAGAACTCGAACTTAATCCGTTCAGAACTCAGGGTCGAATCCTAAAAAGTTCGAGTTCTGATCGAATTTCCCCCATAAGAAATAATGGAAGACCGATTAATTGGTTCCCTGCCCTAAAAAAAATACACCGAAATATGTTTTTTTTTTTTTAGCATTTAAGCACAAAATAGGTATGATAAAACAAGAAGAGCATATACTGTACTAAACACATCTAAGCACATTTACAAAACAGTCATTTGTAAAGTAAGAAAATAAATGTATCCAAACAATATGTAAAGTTAAAAAAAACAAGTGTCCTGCCCCGATCATCCGCTCCTTCCGTGTGCCATGCCCCCTCCTTAACCTCGCGTGGGATCCCCGTGTGATCAGCTGTTTGTGGTTGTTGTCATTACTCCTCTGTATTTAGTCCGCGTTTCAGTTTGTTTCCCCAGTCCGGTCATTGTATTATCCGTCTGCGTTTTGCCTGCCTTACCTGTAATTAAACCCCGTATTCCCCGATACCCTGACGTCTGCGCCTTTGTCTCCGTTCCGCCCCGGCTTGGCACGACAATAGTATTATAATTAAACGTATTAATGGTTTATTATTAATGATATTAAAATAATAAGAAATTTTTAAATGTATTTTATTATATAATAATAATTACTGTTACTGTCTATCATTGTCTAAATGTATTTTTACTGTCTAAATATATGTATTCAGCTAGTGTAAACATGCAGGATGCTATCACAGCCAATGCGAGGCTGAGACTTAAGCGTTACCCTTTGTTTCCGCTGAGAGAAGTGCCGCGTGACTCATTTCCCCGCGCCTACAAGTTATCTTTAGGTCCGCGTTCACGGTTGGATTTCTGAGATTCAGATCGAGTGCTACATCATTTTTTTTTTTCGAACTGGTTGGTTCGACTTTTAAGAAATTTGAGTTCTAATGAGTTCGAGAATTGAGGTACCACTGTACTATACTTTATTTAGTGGAGCAGAATAGCAGAGCATAAAGATAATGAAATGTTTTTGAGTCAATGTAAAGGTACGGAGCCCAACTTCTCAAGGGCTGTAGGATGCAGAGAAACACTAAGTAAGGTGATTTACTAGTCAAATGGGCACAAATACTTAGTAGTAGCAAAGTTACTAGTGAAGTACAAGTCATGAACAAATATAGTAGCTACTTGAAATAAAAAGATGTGTCTTGATTCATTAATGATGAACAAACATGACAGTATTTTACGTGTCTCTCCATCCATTTTCTGTAATTGCTTGTCCTATTTAAGGTTGTGGGGGGTCTGCTGCCTATTCCGGAGGCTACTGGCACAAGGCAGAGAACAACCTAGGATGGGGCACCAACCCATCGCAGGGCACACTCACACATCATTCACTCCACACACAAGGAGCCATGGTGGAGACTCAAACGCTGGTCCCAGAGGTGTGAGGAAACAGTGCTAACCACTGTGCCATCATGCCACCCATGTAGGAGAGAATCTTCTAGAATATTCTGTAGAGTTTTGGGGTGTATATCAGCCTGTGTGTGCATAAGAGCGATAGCATGCCGCGTTGCAGCCCCTGCAGGTGCAGTCGCTCAACTATATTACAGAAGAGGAGATGTGCAGCAGACTGGAGAAGCTGGACAGCTAGTTGGACAGGTCATAGATTCAGGGCCTGGAACTGGGAAAGATGCTGAGGAGTGTCATAGCCATGAGCAACAGACAGGGGGCAGCCTGGTGCTCTTATTGTAGGACATGCATAAGCAAGGACACTTGTGATTGGGGAAAATTCTATTAAATTACCGGCTTTAAAATTAATATTTTAAAGCTCAATCTGTTTAGCCTTGAGCAAAGGAGACTAAGGGAGACATGACCCAGGTATATAAGATTCTAACGGGTCTGGATGCTGTTCCGCCAAATGGCTACTTCAATATTAGTTTAAATACTAGAACTCGTGGCCATAAGTGGAAATTAGCGGGAGAACATTTTAAAATGAACTTGAGGAAGCACTTCTTTACACAGCGTGTAGTTAGAGTATGGAATAGTCTTCCTGCTAGTGTAGTGGAAGCTAAAACCATGGGTTCCTTTAAATCAGAGCTAGATATGATTTTAACAACTCTGAGCTATTAGTTAAGTTCACCCTAAACAAACTTGATGGGCTGAATGGCCTCCTCTAATTTGTAAATTTCTTATATTCTTCTTCTTATGTTCTTATGTATTTGTAAATTTGACTGATGAGAGGATGTTGGTGTCTTATCTCTACATGAGCACCCTGGCAAGGGGAACATTTAAGTCCATAAGAATGTTGCAGATGCACACAATTCTAAGCTGGAGAACCACAAGAATATGTGCAGTGAGCCCGCGGGCGCCCAGGAAGACCAGCTCTGAAGAATGAGGAACTGGAGTGAACTGGACAGAGAGATGGCATTTCACCTGATGGCTCCGCCCCCTTATATATTTCCGAAGCCACCTGGGGGACAGAACAAGCCGATGGCATCCCTCAGTGGTTATGGCATGTGGCTGCCTCCGGCAATGCAGCAGTACTTCCCTGGTCAGAGAGACGTCTCGTGGGACACGCTGGCACTGAGAGCAAACGAGTAGGTAGGGGTGCGGTTAACCAGCACCCACATCACGTCCAACCAAAATACCAGAAGGCATGTAGTGGGGTGACAGGCCCCTCAGAGCGCCCTCTCTCCCTGTAAAATAAACACGCGACTCATTATTCTGATGGATGTACGTATTATCCGTCTGATCTGTTCACAGAACTTCTGCCTCAGATCCCATGAGTGTGTCACATGGTCAAGTTTGGGTTCCCGTGTTTTCATCAAGCTGATAGACGAAGCAAAGGGTTGGTGCCAAAGATGAAGCATCTGTTCTTCCTGCGAACATTTTAGAGGGCCATTGTCTGTATCCAGACCACTATATTCCTGCTCGAGCCTGGACTGGAGGTTTAGCGGCCTGCAGCAGTGAGGGATGCGCTGGCTTTGACGCAGAACCTTCTGTTAGCAAGGTGTCAGGATGGAGACACAAGGGTATTTGGTGGGAATGATCACCTGTGCCCTCAACACCCCTGTTCAGGTCTTAGTTACCATGATTTTAACCTATTTACTTCTTTCTCTTTCTGGGCCTGTTGTCCTGGATTTGATTATCTCACCCTCTATTTTTAACAACCCCCACCCCCCCCCCTGTCACACACACACACACATATATATATACATTTCAGTCCCTGTTTGGGTGTATGTGTGTACAGTATGAGGGTGGGGGAGATTTGGGTGGTGCGGGGGGGGGGGGGGGGCATTATGAAAGTCTCTTTGTGTTTCTGCAAAGCTATAGTTATGGCTATGGGCCCCTCAATCCCCCCCCCACCATTCACAAGCTCAATGGCTCTCTTTGTCTTAAGAAGTATCACACTGCTGATTAAATGGAGGAATTAAGAGTCAGGCTTAAACCACGCAGCATGAGCCCCCCCCCCCCCCCCCCCCCACCCCCCCCCCCCCCCCCCCCACCCCCCC